GGGATGACGTCGTTTCTCGTTTCCGGTGGAGGGACGGACAGGGGGGGGGGGGGCCATTTTCCCTGGGTGTCCCGGACCATGTTTCGGGCCATTTCGTGAAATTCCCCGGTCCCGCGCCGAACACGAAAGCGCCAGAACCATCGACCAATCCGCCTGGAACCCCCAATTGGTCTTCCTCTGCCCCTGTCTGCCCGGCGACACACCCCTCCGCCGCCGAATACGGCCCACCCATGTGTATGTGGTGTGCGTGTGTGTGCATGTGTGTGAGTCTCAAAAGGGTCCAGACTAACGGGCCCCCTCTGGCTGTCAGCCAGCCAATAGCGATCTGTTTCCTTCCCCCCCCCCCTAGGCACCAGTGTTGCTGTACCTCCCCCTTCCCATCGTCCCCCCCCCCTTCGCCTCTCGTCTCTCCCCTCTCTCTCTGTCCCTCTCTCTCTCTCTGTCCCTCTCTCTCTCTATCCCTCTCTGTCCCCTCCACTCCCACTCGCTTTATTCTCCCTCCCAAGCACGTACACCATGCTCTCTCTCTCTCTCTCCCGACTCCCCTAACATCTCTCCTGTCAGTATTTGAAAAATGCTTTCCCGTGCCATTCCCCTTGCCCAGACGGCCCGTCTGGTGGCCGCTGGCCAGCTGCGTCGCGCGGCCCCGGCATCCGGCCTGATGGTGGTCACCCGTGGCATGCACGACTACTACGGCTACGTGTCGAACAACGCCACCAAGCTGCGTCCTCTGCCGCAGAACACCATCATCAAGTTCGTCCCCCAGCAGGAGGCCTGGGTGGTCGAGCGCTTCGGTCGGTTCAACCGCATCCTGGAGCCCGGTCTCAACTTCCTGGTCCCCATCATCGATCGTGTCAAGTATGTTCAGAGCCTGAAGGAGGTGACCATTGAGATCCCCACCCAGTCGGCCATCACGCATGACAACGTCACCCTGCATCTGGATGGTGTCCTGTACCTGCGTGTGCTGGACCCCTACAAGGCTTCGTATGGCGTGGAGAACGCCGAGTACGCCGTGGCTCAGCTGGCCCAGACGACCATGCGTTCGGAGATCGGTAAGATGAACCTGGACAACACCTTCAAGGAGCGCGATCGCCTGAACCACGCCATTGTCGATGCCATGAACAACGCCATCGATGACTGGGGTATCCAGTGTCTGCGTTATGAGATCCGTGCGTTTTTGTCGTTCCCTCTCCTCCTCTCTCTTTTTTTTTCTCCCCCTGCCCGGCTCCCTGCCCATTGGTAGGCTAACGGTCCTCTTCTTGTCGCATGTGGTGATCGGGAACAGGTGATGTCACCATCCCCGATGATATGGTCCGCGCCATGCAGATGCAGGCGTCCGCCGAGCGCCGCAAGCGTGCGCAGATTCTGGACTCCGAGGCTTCGCGTCAGTCCGACATCAACATCGCCGAGGGTCGGCGCATGGCCGTGGTCCTCGGGTCCGAGGCTCAGATGGAGGAGTCCATCAACCTGGCGCGAGGTGATGCCCAGGCTATCGAGCTGCGCGCCGCGGCCACCGCCAAGTCCCTTTCCCTGGTCGCTGATGCCATCCGCCAGGCTGGGCCGTACGGCCAGCAGGCTGTCGGTCTTCAGGTGGCCGAGCAGTATGTGTCTGGTGCGTACACACAGACGCCCACGCGTCGGAAAGGGTTTTTTTTTCTTTTGCAAAAGGGTTGCCTTTTGGTTATGGCCTTCACCACCCCTCCCCTGTCTGATGGGGCAAAAAGGGGCCCCAACAGCGTGAAAAGCACCCACACCCACACCCACACCCACACCCACACACGCGCACGGTCGCATGCTCATCAACTGACTGCTTCATCTATGCACACAGCCTTCTCCAACATCGCCAAGGAGAGCACGACTGTGCTGCTGCCCGCCGGCATGAGCGACCCCTCGTCCATGATCGCCCAGGTACGCTGATGAAAGGAGATTCCTTGGCTGGGGGGCGGGGGGCGGGGGGGGGGGGGGGGGGGGATTTTTAAACAATTTTTTCCTACAAAATTCCCCGGCCCCCCTTAAACCCTTTTTCTTCGGTTCCCCCGTTTCCGCATAATATCCAGGCCATGACCATTTTCTCGAGCCTGAGCAAGAACCCGTCCTCCGCCACTCCGGAGCAGCTGGCTGCTGCTGCTGCTACTGCTTCTCCCGCTGCCATTGGCGCCTCGGCCACTGGCACTGCCCCGGCCGCCGACAAGAAGCCCTCTGTTCGGGATCCGGTTGCCGCGGAGATCCTCCAGTCCATCACCAAGTCTTAGATATAGCTAGCTACCCATATTTCCTGTTTGGGTCCCTTCTTTCTCGCCCTCTTCGCCACTGTCCATCGGCGTGCGGTGTTTTGTGCGCACATACGCAAGCGCAACCGGCAGAGATGTACACCGACGAGGGATGATCCTTCTCTCCCCCTCCCCCCTCCTGTCCTAATTTCCTTCTTTTCCTCTCCGGATCAGGGGTGTGGGGGTTGTGCGTTCGCACGCAAAGGGAACCACCTTCCCCGGGCAGCGGCGACTTCCTGCCTCCACCATCACTTCCCATACCAAATATAGCACATAACATTCGAAATCCCGGACACTCGATTCGCTTGCCTTTTGGACTTCTCACAGAGAGGCCTTCCTTATTTTTTTGGCCCCATTTCCTCGGAGAGAAATACCACAAAAGTGAGATTGTATGGTTATTCATGTATTCGTTGATGCGGAGGTGCACCTAGCGCGACAAGGGCATACACTGAAGCCGGATAGCCGGAGGAGGGAGGGACGAGGGTGGGGGAAGTGGGGGAAAAATATGATAGACACACCCAGGGTCATCCTGTTCTCACATGGCTGTTGGCAGTGCGCTGCCTCGCCGGAGTGTCGTCAGCGCGCAGAGGAGGGGAGAGGAGAGGGATTGAAATGTGAAGAGGAGGAGCCATGATGTCATCCGCGCAAGATGACCCCCACAGAGGGGAGGAGGGGGGGGGGGGGGGCGGAGACACGATGGGGAAGAGGAGAGAAGAGGGGTCAACAGCCAACAGGGAGCTAGTCCTTCCTGTTGGCCTCCTCCTTGAAGACACGGACAAACTCCCTCCAGCCTCCCTTGGCGTCAGCGGCCACCTTGTTGGAGTAGTTGGACACACCGCCGCTCTCACGAATCTGGCGCTGGATGTCGCGCTGAGTGTCGAGGGTCTTCTGCTGGACCTGGCTGATGTTACGATGGGTGAAGATGGCCATGCGCTTGAAGAGTGCTGACTCGCCAAGGCGCTTGATCATATACTCATTGATCATGTTGCCAAAGATGCGCGCAAACAGGGCGGACATGTTGGATTGGTTGACGCAGGTGTGCGGAAGGGGGGGGGGGAGGAGAAGAGGGGAAAAGACAGAACCAGGTCGGAGGGTGTGGGCTGAAGCCGGTGGGGGGAACTCCCGGAGGGGGGCCCCTAAAAAGGAGTGGCTCGGTTTCGCCCCGACGCTCACCCCCGGCCTGTGCATCCTCCCGCCTCGGGCTCCGGCCCCTTGCGCCTCTGGCGAGGGGCCCGGCCGCCAACGTGCCCTTGCCACACTTGGCGGCGTGTCCCCCGTCCCCGTCCCCCACGGGGATCAACCAACGTCCGCACATGGGCCGCCAAGGGACCCGGGCGCGCCCCCCAGCCCCACCCCCCACAGCCGGGTATCTAGATTGTTCGAGCGGGGAGCCGCAGGCCGCGCGTCCAACGGAGGCGGGCAACCCCATCTGGCTCTCCAGGAGGGGGGGGGGGCGGGGGCGCGGGAAGGGGGACCGAGGCTCTTCTCTCAAACTTCATACAGAACAGGCCGGGGGGTGCGGGTGCGTCGGGGCCGGAGATAGGGTTGGCGGTGGACGCTCTATGGGGCGTGATTCATACACATGACAAGGGAACGTGATACGTACCTCGCGGTTGCATTCCGCCCGCTGGTCATCCCGCATGTGCGGCAAACAGGGGGGGATCGGTCCGCCTCCCCAGAGGGGGAAGTGCCGAGGCGCCCCCCCCCCCCC